GATGGTGTGAGCGGGAAACTGGCGCGATCAGGCACCTTGAGAGTGTCTCCACCAATTAGGGTGCGGACTTTTCCGCACTGCTCTGGTCCAACTGCCCGGGAGCCAAGCCGACCAACCCATCCAAATTAGCCTGCTTGAACATCAATCCCAAGGCGGTTCGAAAACCAGGGTCAAGAGCCACACAGTCCCAGATGAGGTTGATGGAAGCACACTCTTGATCTACATTCAGAGGTCTAGTTCGGTTGGCTCCGCTCCCAAGCGGTAAATACAGAATACCTTGTTTACCGTGTGTAATTCGTATTGAACCGCACTGGCGATAAGTGGAGTTGAGGAGCAGGGTGTGCAAATCATCCTTGAGCAGCAAGGCAGCCATGCAAATGAGTCGGAAGCCTGACCGTTGTTGGCCCTCTTCACTGACTCGGCAGGGAGGCAGGACTTCATCTCTCAGTAGCTCCTCTTTCCTTGCCACGCCTTAGTCTCCTTGTCTGTTATGGATAGACAGGGTGGAGCAGAATATTATATATTTGTAGAAAGATTTACTAATTAAGCTATACAAACCGCGTCCGCGTGCTGCTAGTCCGATAGATATTAAGCAGTTTGCGTCATGTTGGCTAAAAAACGGATTGGTTGAGGTGCAGTCCGTTAAATATTAAATATTATTAGTAGCGGAAATTCGAACACCGGACAGGATGTTTAAGGCGTTTGGGTCCAAGAAGGAGAAGTTCGAGTTCCGGTTTAGGTTTCATGCTACTCGGGTAAGCAACGGTCAGCGTTTCATCCGGTACTTACTGTCAGCGTTTCATGCACATTCAGCTGCGTCTGGATAGCCACGTTTCAAGTATGCGTCGTTTATCTTAGAACTACGGTTTCCACTGCACTTGGTCTCTGCATTAGCACGAGCATTAGGCTTCTCACATTCACCTGTTTCATTTGGGTTTTCCACCCATCCGGGTCAGTGAGCCTTTATCAGAGTCACAATCGTTGCTTCCCTGGAGATCGCTTCAGGTTGGCGAAGGCACTTCTTCCGGTAGATACCCGAACAACAGGCCTTTCTCCACTTCTTTCACTCTTAACTCACGCATTTTTCTCGTGCGCGCGCTGCTGGACCAGTCCTTGCAACACACGGCAGGTACCAGCGACGGGGTGCGAGAGGCTGGTGGTGTCGCTGATTTTCAGAACACGGGACCTCGAGGAGCAGACACATAAGGGGGTCCGTCCGTTTCTAAGCCGCGTCTGAAATAGCCAACAGCTGAAACGCGTTCTTCCATTTGTATCCTATTCGTCCTTGAAACACACGGCAGGTGCCGGCGACGGGGTTCGAGAGGCTAGTGGTGTCGCTGATTCCGGTGGACACGGGGAAACTCGAGGGACAGACGCCAAAGGGGGTGGTGAAGAACGGCACGTGCACATGGACCGACACCGTCACCGAGGTCACTCGCCTCGCCAGGAACCCCAAAGGGAAAGGCTACGAGCAGAAGGTGTACCGGCTTATCGTGTCCACGGTGAGTTTTGGTTTACTTAAAACTCACGGAGGTGCACTGGCTTGTGGTGTCCATCCGTGGTGAGCGCAAGGGTGATTTTTGTGGAGTGAATTTGACCATCACGCAGCCAGTAGACGCGTTTTTTTTATCTTGCAACTGCGAAATGTGCAATCGAAAGTAGTAGTACAAAAATACTCCAGATCCCTACTCACTCACTAGAGGCTCAGGAGTGCGTTGACTTCTGTTTTCATTTCTTCAATCTTTGAATTGTGTGACGCTGAAATTTCCTTCATCTTTGGCGTTTGTTCATCCTCCGCTCATTTTCTGACCTCCGCTGTACGCGTTACAGGGCTCCACGCGAGGCGGCATACTGGGCGAGGCGACGCTGAACCTCGCGGACTTCGCAGGCTTTAACCAGCTCGACCAGCGCGCGCTGCCGCTCAAGTACTGCCCCGCAGGCACCGTGCTGCATGTGAGTGGCCGTGCATTGCGCCGGATAGTGCGCATAATTTCTGCGTGGTTGGTGCGAACATCAGCACTGCACTTCCCTTCTGACCTCCTTACCTTGTGTGCTTTGATCTTGTATTCCCTCATGTTTCCTGCACGGTTTCTGAGGTGCCGTTGAATTGTAGAACGAAGTATTTGTGCTTTTCTATGCGTTTCCTCCTGTTTCCTACGCGGCCATTGTGTTTCAGGTGACCATTCAATGCTCGTCTCGCGATCCCAGGTCAGCCATCGCACCCTTGAGTCTCTATCCCCCTTCATCCCTCCTTCCCAACCACTCTGTATCCAGCATCACTCCGTAACTACCATGATCGTAACCAGCTCGCTCTGCAACTTCCTATTGGTTAATTGCACTCTTCGGCTCAGAATCCATAGGCGTGGGGGTCCTAGCCTCTTCCTTTCCCTCACGTTGTCGAGCCTTTTCTTCGCTTTCCCCGCTCGTCACCTTGCCATTACGCCCTCTCGATCCGCTGACCATCTTGTGAGTTTCCATCCTGATCGTTCCCATGTGGCAGGGAGGGCGAGGAGTCAGACACGGGGCAGAGCGAGAACGAGGAGGAACTCACGCCCAAGAAGCCAGCCGGCAAAGCAGCAGCTGCTGCTGCTGTAGGGGCAGGCGCAGGAACAGGCGCAGCAGCGGTCGCAAGGGGAGCAGGGGGGACAGGGGGCGGGGTGCATGGAACGGCGGCGGCAGGACCGAAGCGGATGAGCAAGAGCAAGTCGGACGCGAGTGACGTGCTGTCGAGCATCGACCTGCCCAACACCACCACGCCCACAAAGGGGCAGGTGAGTGCAGCACAGGGGTGGGTGGCAAGTGGAGGGTAGGCGCAGCAGGGGACCAGGTACCGGTAGGCCTGGAGCATATCTGCAAGGTTTGGACGCGAGTGACCAGGTGCTGTCGAGCATCGACCTGCCCAACACCACCACGCCCACCAAGGGGCAGGTAGGCGCGGCAAGGGCTAGTAGATAGGCGCAGCAGGGAGACAGGGTAGGCCTGGCGCATGTTTGGAAGGTTTTATCTGTGATAGGTCACGTGCTGTCGAGCATCGACCTGCCCAACACCACCACACCCACCAAGGGGCAGGTGAGTGCAGCAAGTTTTTTTCATCCCTTGAGCAAGCTTCTTGGGTTCAATTTCTCAAATGCTATGAGCCTACAAGAAAAGTTATTGCACTCTCAGCCTACAGGGTAACGTTTTGCCTGTCCCTCTATCTCTCGGACTTGCAGAAGCACTACCACGCGAACGAGCCAACTAACAATCATCACCATCACCGCCAGCATTGATAAACACATTTTCTGTCCCTCTATCTCTCGGGCTTGCAGAAGTATTACCACGCGAACGAGCCAACCAACAATCATCATCATCACCGCCAGCATCAGCAGCCCCAGCAGCAGCAGAGAGGAGCCCAAGTTGCAGCGACCCCTTCAATCGGTCGCTCTTCCAGCCTTCCGTCGAATCAGGTCAGTTAAGAATCCATCTGCTTTCTTTTAGGGCGGTTGGGGTGGTAGGGGAGAATAAGGAGGAAGCGCGATTGCACTGCTTTCGGCTTAGAACCCGCTAAACGCCTTGCTTGCATGACACTGCTCCCCGCGCTTGACTCCCCAGGACGACAACGACTCCGCGGATGCCCTCTATGAGCGCAACAGGGGCAGGGGCGCAGCAGCGCACGGGGGGGAGGCGCAGGCGCGCGCGGGCGGCAAGGAGCATCCTGCGGAGGCTGAGGGGTTGCGTCTCAGTGTGGACACGGACGGCGCGGGGGGCGAGGCGGAGGCGGAGGGGGGATTTTCTTCTGGCGGAATAAGGACGCTTCCCCGCGCCATGCGTCCCCCCTGCGCGGACGGTTTGGGCGCGACCCTTCCCCCGCGCGCGTGCATGCGCAAGTGGCGGAACCGAAGGATGCGGGGAAGGAGAAGCAGCATGGGGCGGTGAGAGTGAGATCGCAGTCGAGAGGGAGAGAGAGAGAGAAGGAGAAGGAGAGGGAAAAAAGAGAAGGAAAGGGAGCGGGAAAAGGAAAAGGAGAGAGAAAGGGAGAAGGTAAGGGAAAGGGAACGGGATAAGGATAGGTATAGGGATAGGGATGAAGATAGGTACAGGGAAAAAGAGAGGGAACGAGAAAGAGGCGGGGACAGGTACAGGGAGAGAGAAAGAGAGAGGGACAGGAGCAGAGGGAAAGAGCGGGAGAGGGAGAAGGAGAGGGAGAGGGAGCATGAGGAACGTGAGAGGCTTAGAGAAAGAGAAAAGGAGCAAAGGGAGAGGCTAAAGGGAACGCGAGCGGGGAGAAAGAGAGGGAGAGGAGGGAGAAAGGAGAGAGAAATGGAGAGGGGAGAGGGAGAGGGAAAGAGAAAGGGAAAGGGAGGCAGAGAAAGAAAGGGAGCGAGAGGCTAAGGAGAAAGAGAAGCAGCGGGGAGCTGGAGCTGGCAGCAAAGGAGAGAGAGCGGCAGAGACAGGAGCAGGAGGAGAGAGAGAAAGAGAAGGAGCGGGGAGAGAGAGGAGAGGGAAGAGGGAGAGGGAGCGGAAGCGGCAGGAGCAAGAGCGGCAGCGGAAGCTACTGGAAGAGCAGCAGAGGGGAAGAGATGTGGCAGGCAGAGGAAGATTGGAGGAAGAAGCGAGGCGGGTGAGAATGGAACGCGAGTGGCAACGGCAGCAGCGGGAGGAGGTGAGGCGGCGGCAATACGCCTTAGACTCTGCCTCAGACGGAACCTCACAGGGGGGCATGCCGGATGCCTTGTCGCCTGGGCTCACCCCGTCCGTGGGCGCTACTGGGATGGGGTACAAGGGATGGAGGGGAGCGAGTATGGGGAGAGGACGCCCGAGGAGATGACTGGGGAGAATGAGTATATAGATGAGCTGCAGGAGCTGCAGTCGCCTGGCGGGATGGGGGTCTGTGGGTGGCGGTGGTAGTGGTGGAGGTGGTGGTGGGGGGGTTGGGACTCCTATGACTGGTATGTCTCCCCGTGGAGCGCTGGGAAGCTGGAGTAAGGGGCCGGGGGGGGACGCCGCAGACGCCGGTTAGTATGGTTGGTAGCACGGGCACGGTTCCTGGGACTGCTGGCACAGGCGCGGGGTATAAGCCCGCGTGGGCGGAGTCAGGCGGGGCGAGCGCGGCAGGCGGGGGGGATGGGCGCGGGCGGGGGTGGTCCGGGGAGGGGCACCTGGTTTCCCCGCCCTCGAGTATGAATTCGTCCCCTGTGGCAACTCCGCAGCACCAGCAGCAGCACCAGCACACGCGTCTGGCCTACCCTGAGTATTACCAGACATCGGGCAGGGCAGGAAGCGGGGAGGCGGGGGGAGTGCTGCTAGCGGGCGCGGCCAGCGCCGCGTATGGTAACCACCACAGGGGGGAGCACGCGGGGGAGGGATAGGGGGAGGCAGCGGAGGGGGGGGCAGCGCGGGCGCAAAGGGGAACGGCGCGCTGCCCTCGCCCAGCGCAGGCGCCATGTCGCCCGTCCCTGCTGGTCCCATCCCCGACGGGTTCAGCCCCTTAGGCTCCGTGGGAAGCTCCCTGACAAACCCGCTTGGGGCAGTGCACGGGCGCGGCAGAGGAGGCGCGGTTATGCGGGACTATCCGGGGGAGCTGGCGGCGGCGGAGGCGGCTATAGAGGAGCTGCAGCGGGACTGCGTGAAATAACCAGCTGAACGCGCGAAATCTCACCAGGAGGTGGAGAGTCTGAGAAGCCAGCTGGCTGAGGCGATCACGCAGGACCAGAGGGCTGATATTGCGATAGGGGAGTTGAAAGGGGAGAGGGATCAGCTTCAGGAGGAGCTGAACCAGCTGCGGATGGGGCGGGGAGGCGGGGAAGTGGGCGGCGGGGGGATGGGGGAGGGGAGCGAGTGGAGCATGGGCGGACCCGGGGGCATGCGCGGGGGGATGGGGGGCGGCAGGGAGGTGGAGATGCTGATGGAAGAGGTGGAGTATCTCAAGGGCACGGTTGATAGCTTATCAGCGCAGCTGGAGGTGTTTCAACGGATAACGTGGAGCTGTCTAAGTCGCTTGAGGAGGCGGAGAGAGAGGCGGGGAAGTACAGGCGGGACGCGGAGGAATTGTTTGAGGATAGGCGGGAGGCGCAAGCGGTGGCGAAGCGGCTGCAGAAGCAGATGGAGGAGAAGGAGGCGGACTGGAACCGGCGGCTGGCGGAGCTTGCGCAGGGGAATGGGGGGATGGACGGGTTGGGTCTGAGCGGGTTGGGGGTTTCGGAGGGGATGGGCGGCGTGGGAGGGAGCGTGCAGTCGTCCGGTTAAGAGGAGTTTGTTTGCGGGGCGGACAGGGCGCGCGGGGCTGGTTCCGCGGAACCTGAGGGATGAGCTGGAGCTCGCGACAGAGAGCGAGGGGGAGGTTAGGGGAGGCGGAGGATGCAATAAGCGGTACGCAGGGTATGACGGGCAGGAGAGCAGCGGGACGGCGGGCATGACTTGTGATGAGAGCGTGCTGTTAGAGCTCCAACAGAAGGTGAAGAACTGGAGAAAGAAGCGCAGGAGCTCACAGCAGAGAGTCTTGAGCTAGCTACGGAATTGAACACGGCGAATAAGGAGGCTGAGCAGAAGGAGGTGTTGATCGAGCAGCTGAAGCAGGAGTTGGTCGCGGCTAGGGGTGGGAGAGGGCTTCCGGCGAGTATAGCGCAGCTGCTACAGACGACGAAACCCAAGCCGAAGCCGTACCAGCCTGTGCAGCTGCGGCAGCAGCGCCCGGCGCCGCCCCCGCCTCCTGCTCCCCCTGCCCCGTGCCTGTGTCCGAAATGCTCTGAGCCGTCCGCCCCTGCGCTCTGCGCGAAGTGCACCCGCCTCCCCCGCCCCCGCCGCCGCCTGCGGCCCCATCTCCGCCTCCGCCCCCGCCCCCTCCCCCTGCCCCTGTAGAGGAAACTAAGAAACCAGAGGTTGCGGTGAGGGCTGTGAGCAGCGAGGGCGGCAGCAGCGTGTCCGAGGAAGATGCGCGGAAGCTGCAGGCGCGCGTGCAGGAGCTGCTGGAGCAGCTGCGGGTGCAGCGGCGGAGGCGCAGGCCGCCAAGGAGGAGGTGGTGCAGCTGCGCAGCAAGGTGCGCGTCACTGAAATGGCCACCCAGCGCGCGAATGACAGGCTTAGCATCTTAGAGGAGTATGAACGGAGGGCTAGGGAGGTGGAGGCGGAGTTGGAAAGTACCAAGAAGCTGCTGACGGCGGGCGGCGGGCGAGGGAGGAGGCGGAGGAGGAGGCATGAGCTAGAGGTGGAGCATTTGAAGGAGGCGCGGGCTGACGGACGTGGAGAGTCAGCTGACGAGGTATGTGGAGGAGGTGGGGGGGGCGGCTGGAGAAGAAGTGTGCTGATGAGGACAGGCAGGAAAAGATCTTGAGTGAGAGGCTGGCCCATGTGCTGGAGAATGGGTTGGTGGGATTGACTTGAGGATTCTGCGAGTCTGGCTGCGAGGGCGGAAGGGTTGG